TGTTTTTATTTCTCCAAATTATTTAACAAAACCGATTTCTATAACTCTAGCCGAAATCCTTTTCTAGAAAAACATGGAAGTGTTTTTTTTTCAAATTTACCGAGATATTCGGCATGTTTTTATTTCTCCAAATTATTTAACAAAACCGATTTCTATAACTCTAGCCGAAATCCTTTTCTAGAAAAACATGGAAGTGTTTTTTTTTCAAATTTACCGAGATATTCGGCATGTTTTTATTTCTCCAAATTATTTAACAAAACCGATTTCTATAACTCTAGCCGAAATCCTTTTCTAGAAAAACATGGAAGTGTTTTTTTTCAAATTTACCGAGATATTCGGCATGTTTTTATTTCTCCAAATTATTTAACAAAACCGATTTCTATAACTCTAGCCGAAATCCTTTTCTAGAAAAACATGGAAGTGTTTTTTTTCAAATTTACCGAGATATTCGGCATGTTTTTATTTCTCCAAATTATTTAACAAAACCGATTTCTATAACTCTAGCCGAAATCCTTTTCTAGAAAAACATGGAAGTGTTTTTTTTTCAAATTTACCGAGATATTCGGCATGTTTTTATTTCTCCAAATTATTTAACAAAACCGATTTCTATAACTCTAGCCGAAATCCTTTTCTAGAAAAACATGGAAGTGTTTTTTTTTCAAATTTACCGAGATATTCGGCATGTTTTTATTTCTCCAAATTATTTCGAAAGCCATTCGTTTTGTCCGTCAGCAGGATATCTCTAGAACGACTTAAGATAATTAAACGCCGTTTCCCCCGTTGGGTTTCTAATTTTTAGCCCGAGTCAGGGCTTATGGAACCGTCATGTCCGTCCGTCTGTCTGTCTGTCCGGCACGATAGAGCCAAAGCGGCTGAACCGATTGACTTGAAATTTTTACGATATGCGTATTGGACAAAGTTAGGAAATGAGTTCGAAGATGGGCTAAATCGGTCCAGTGGTTGACCGGTGGGGGTCATCGGAGTGGGTGGGGTATTATGCACCAAAATTTCAAAATTGTTGTAGAGAGCTGAAATTTGGTACAGAGGTTGCTAATGGCTCCTACGAGATAAAAATGACTTCAAGTTGGAAAATTTTTTATCTTGAGTGACCCTATGGGGTGACCCATACCGATTTTTAAAAATCATCATATCGAACTGAAATTTGGTGGAGAGGTTGCTTATGGGTTTTAATGAAAGAATATGATATGATATTGGTAAAATTTTTATCTGGAGAGACCCTATGGGGTGATCCATACCGATTTTTAGAAATTGCTTTAAAAAGATGAAATCCGGCACAATGATACCTAATGGCTTCTAATTAAAGGATATGAAGTTAAAAGTGAGCAAAGTGCAACCAGAGTGACCCTATGGGGTGACCCATACTGATTTTTCCAAATCGTTATATGGAGCTGAAATTTGATATGGAGGCTGAAAAAGTTAAAACCACTGCTGGATAGCACATGCATACAGCTTAGAACTTCAGGATGTTAAAGAAGTCCACTGGTCATGGTGGTCAAGGCACATGATTTGTAACTAGTTCAAAAATTTTGTACCAAATAGTAGAAACTATCTAACAAACTTTTAACCATTCACAACACGGAAGTTGGTAATATTATGTCGGTCAATTTGGAAAAAAATTAGAAGCGGGCTCTGACTTATTGAGTCAGGGACTATGTCCCTGACTCAATAATATATAATGACTATATAATACAAGATATAATATAATATATAAATAAAAAAAAAAATATATATAATGACTATATAATACAAGATATAATATAATATATATAATGACTATATAATACAAGATATAATATAATATATATAATGACTATATAATACAAGATATAATATAATATATATAATGACTATATAATACAAGATATAATATAATATATATAATGACTATATAATACAAGATATAATATAATATATATAATGACTATATAATACAAGATATAATATAATATAAAAAAAAAATATAATATAATATAATACTATATAATAATATATAATGACTCTATATGGAGTCTGCACTGTAGGTTTTAGTTATTGGTGGAGTTCGATAATGAGATTAATCGGACCACCCCCGTCCGCCAAGATTGCAGGCCAAAATATAACAAAATTCTGTTCAAAAATTTACTTTTCATTCACATTCACTCATTTTCTTTCAAGCTCATTTCACTTCATCTGACTTCACTTCTTACTTCGCCGCATGTATTGTATTTAAGCATTGGGTGACAAATGAAATGAATGGAAAAATGTTCATTCATAATCATTCATCTGAAATGACGGAATTTTTCAATCATCTTCATTCAAAACACAGGAAATTCATTTTCATAATCACTCACATGAATGATAGTGAACAGGTATGCATATGTGGTGCCATTTTAGAGGAAATTCCACTTGCAAATTCAACACCGTCAATATTTCTGACCTTATGAGGAAGAGGTCAATGGTCAAAAATATACAATTGCTATTTATGGTATCATTTTAGATGAAATTTCAATCGTTCTCATGTTACATTTTTATATTAGTTTGCAAGGATGTATTTGTAAGATCAGTTGTGACGCGAAATGACGCCTGTACACCAGCACTTGCTTAAAACTAAAAGAATGTGGAAAAAGGGCTTTCTGTCAAATCTGAGCAGTTTAAAATTGCGTCATTTAAACATCTGAAAGGAATGTTTTATTTAATTTAGTAATTAATAATGTTAAAAGATTTTTGGTTGTTCGTGGTTTTGGTCACATTTTCATATCTTTTTGCATTTCGGAAACTAAAATGATCACGATCAAGTAATTTAATGTCGTGGGAAGGGAAAGACTATAAAAAAATAATTAGAGATGTGGAATTATCTAACTGTAAAAAGTATTAGGATTTAAACGACGCTGTCGATTTTTTTACATAATGAAATTACTCAAGAGTAATTCAGATCCAATTTGTTCAGTCTTAAAATTTGACAAAAACCCAATCAAACTTGCAATGTTTTAGGAATTGCGAGTCCAAATATATGACAATGACAAATATCAAATTATGTAATTTGCACTGTTTACAACATAACTTTTCGCAAATTCAAACCATTGTGAAAAGCTCTTTTCTAGACTAGGATGAAATTTTTGTTCTTAAATTTACCCAAAACATCGATATGCTTTTATCTCGAAAACCATGTATTTGTCAAATAAGTTGTGATACCAAATGGCACGCTTACACAAGTAATATTTAACTTGCTTAAAAACCGAGGAAAGTTATAAAAACTTAAAAATGTGTACTTGACGGTTTTGTGTCAAATTTGATCAGCTTAAAATTACGTCACAAATAATATTCAAAAATTGCCTTGTAGTTGTTTTGTGATGGCTGTGCTTTTGTTCATAAAATCGGCTCGTTTTAATTTTTTTGATATCGAAAATTGAAATAATAAATCGTTTCAACGAATGTAACAAAGAGGTGAAAGAGGTGTTTCACACGTTAAAATGAATATTTATTGTATTGTTTGCGTATCATTTTGTTATCGTATTGTTTGTGGAGTTGTGAAATGAACTGTGAAAAAAATGTAGGATTTAAACGACTTGATCGCTTTTTTTACACAATTAAATTACTTCACAGTAATTCAGATCCAGTGGGGCCAATGAGAAAATCTCACAAGCGTCAATAAAACTTCGAATGTTTTATGAAATTCGAAACAGTGCGAAAAACACTTTTCTATAAAAGGATGAAATTTTTTTTTCCAAATTTTACATCGGGATGGTTTTATTTCTCGTGAATTTTTCAAAAACCATTTATTTGGCAAATAATCTGTGGTGCGAAATAACACGTGCACAGTAACACTATTTAAAAACGGTGAAGTTTTTTCTTTTAATTTAAAAAATATGGAAAACAACGGGGTTCTGTCCAATGGTTTGTCAAAAGTTTAAAATTTCATCTATGGTTGGTGGATTTAGTCAAGTCGCCACGTTTTCATATGTCTTTGCATTTTGGAAAGTATAATAATAACGATTAAGGAATCTAAGCTCGTGGAAAGATTACAAACTAAAAAACATTGCAAAAAATTTTGCAAAAAAATTTTGCAAAAAAATAAGTACATATGTAAAGTTTGATAAAAAATATGATAAAATGTAGGATTTGAACGACTTTGTCGAATTTTGTATATAATCTAATTACTGAAGAGTAATTCCGATTCGAATGGTGTAACTTGACAATCTGGCGAACGCCAATAAAAATTGCAATGCTTTAGGAAATTCGAAACATTGCGTAACCAAAACTCTTTTCTAGAAAAAGATGTATTTTTTTCAAATTTACACTGAAAATCGGTTATTTTACAAAATTTTCTTATCCCTTGCTGAGGAAAGTTATACAGAAATCTTTAAAAAGAGAAATTGAAAGTTTTGTATCAAATTTTAATAGAACTTTTAAACTTCATAATTTGAACGTCTTAAGTTTTGAAAAATGCGGTACAAAATTATTTTGAAAGTTTCTTACTGGTTATTAATATCAAATCTGCAAATTTTAAGTTTTCTTTATATCTCGGAAACATAACATCACGATGACATTCTATTTTATTAACTCAAAAATTACAAAATCTTGCATTACTCAAAATACTCGCGGTACTCACGTACAGTACTCGAAGTACTCTATAATCAGTCAGATTTATGTCGGAATTTATAATTCCACCCCCACCAATTTCATTCATATGAGTGATTATGATAGTGAATGATCGTGAATGAGACTAAAATTTCTCTGATTTGAATGAAAATGACTGAAGGATTCTATCATTTCAGACAAATGAACGTGAATTAGAAGATTTCTCACTCCTTTCAATTTTCACCCTATGCTGAATACATGGGGCAAATTAACAAATGAAGTGAAGTGAAATGAAATGAATTTGAAATATAATTACATACTGAATGTAAATGAAAAGTTTAATTCAGAAATCGAGATGAGTGACTTTTGAGTGAAAATATTTTTTTTGAACACGTATTCATTCACTTATGTACGGCTTACGAATGGATGGGAATCAGAGACTTCAAATATTAATATTGCAAATTTCACAGTCTTCTCCAATAAACGATCTGGGAGAGGAGGTGGAGTCGCGATATATGCTCGCAACGACCTTTGCGCCACTCAAGTCGCTGCTTCAAGTGACCACGAATTTGAAGCTCTCTGGGTTTACTTCCGGCCACATCATCTACCAAGATCCATTTCTGGAATTATTGTTGGGATTGTTTACCTCCCTGCTGGTTGGAAACCTGCTGTTGGTCGACGTCTATTTGACCACGTCACAGTATCTATCGACACTTTTACTCCAAAAATATACAAATTCCGGTATTGTATTAGTGGGCGATTTTAATCACTGGAACTCTGAAATAATCTGTAAAATGTTTAAAATTAAACAAATAATAGATTTTCCTACTTTTATGAATCCCGACGGAGAGTGTGCAACGCTCGATTTGATAATGACTAATTTGACACAATTTTATCGTAAACCAACAGAATCTCCACCACTTGGACAGAGTCGACACAAGTCCATATTCTTAACGCCGATGCCCGTCCATCAGATGGCAGTCAAGAGCAAAATAACTAAGGTTACTCGTCCACTAACAAGTGAAGGGATGAATGAACTTCGTGACCTACTTCATAAAGAGGATTGGAGCGACGTACTGAATTCGAAATCTATAGACACGAAAGATAAGGTTTTCCACAAAATTATGTTTGGTTTAATCCATAAATGCTTCCCTCAAAAAACTACGCAGGTTTGTACGAACGACAAACCATGGTTTTCTCCAGAACTCCGCCATCTCATTAAAATACGGGACAAACTCTTCAAACAGAATGACCCAAAGTGGAAAATTTATCGACACAAAGTCAGAATGAAGATAAAGTCTGATCGACTCAACTTCCGCAACAATTTTAGCCAGAAGCTGGGTCAATTAACATCTCGATCCTGGTACGGACTTGTGAAAAAACTCACGGGAGCCAGCTCGCGATCAATATTGACCATAGCAGAAGGCATCGACAACAATTCGAGTCTAGAAGGTGACCCATACACAATTCTGAATCGTGTTAATGACCACTTCGCCAGCATCACCAACTCTAAATCTTCATCTGTCCCCGTCAGTATACCATGCTACCTCCCTAGTCATCTTCCTCCTATTGAAGTATCCCATATTGAGGTCTACAAAAAGTTGACGGCACTCGACCCATGCAAAAGCAATAGCTCCCAGGCCGTCCCCTCAAAAATATTAAAGGAATGTGCAATTGAGCTTTGTTACATCCTGTCGCATCTTCTAAACTCCTCCTTCGAATCTGGTGACCTTCCTGCATCATGGAAAGACGGATTCATCACCGCCATTCCTAAAACCCCTTCAGTCACCTCCTATTCACAACTACGCCCAATCACAGTCACCAGCAACCTGGCAAAAATCGCAGAACAATTTATCTACGAAGATATATATGAAAAAATATCAAGCCAAATAAGTGTACAACAGTTTGGAGTCTTAAAGAAGTCCTCTACTGCTCACTACCTTATCCAACTTTTCGACTTCCTGCTTAAATCCATTGATAAAAAGCCATCTCAAGTAATCATTTCTCTGCTGGACTGCGAAAAGGCTTTTGACCTTATTAATCACAACATTCTTATCAATCGACTTATTAAAATGGGAATAAACGAAAATTCCATTCGTTGGATTCAATCCTTCCTTACAAATCGGAAAAACTGCTTAAGGGAACACGGTTTATTCTCGAGCTTCCAACCTATGACACGTGGCTTGCCCCAAGGGACACTATTAGGCCCTCTGTGTTTTATAGTGACCTTTGACCCACTCTTGCAGCGTCTCATGGCATTGACCCCGTAAACTCCAGAGTTTATGGGTTTGTTGATGATCTCACCAACTTAGAAGTTGTAAGTGGAGAGCCAATCACTTCATCTTCTCTCCAAGTAGCAAGCCACACCACCAAAGAAATCGACATGCGACTTAACGCCAAGAAAACCGTATCACTCGTAGTCGACACCCGCCGCAAACCTGAAGACCACATCATCTCAGTTGACTCGACGCCCATCCCAAAAGTCAATTCAGTGAAGCTTTTAGGAATCATTATCAATAACAATTTGACCTGGGATGATCATATTAAGTATATTACCATCAAAGCAGCGAGCCGATTGAACTACCTTCGTAAATTGAAAGCTCTTGGTTTTCAGAAAGAAGAACTTTTGATAGCCTATTGCAGTTTCATACGTCCCGTCCTCGAGTACAATTCCACAGTTTGGGGACCAGGACTGTCAATTGATCAAGCCAGCGCTGTAGAAAAAATTCAACGACGAGCCGTGTCGTCCATCGTAAACAAAAAAGTGAACGAGACTAGTTACGATGACCAACTCTCCAAATTAAGGCTGGACACATTACGGAAACGAAGAGAACTGGCACTTACACGTCTCGGAGCCAGCATTCTGCAGAATCCAAGGTTGAGGAAAATGCTTCCTGAATTCAATAAGAATACCAACGCCCGCTCTCTCCGACAGATGAATCTTCTAGTTCCACCCTCGACATCAAGAAAACGATACAAGTTCTCAGCAATCCCAGCAATGGTGGAACTTATCAACGCAGAGTTCCGACTCAAGAAATCGTTTATGGGAAAACAATATCTTCATAATGAGTCAGACGACGATTTTTACAACCATTACTGATTTGTTAAATTTTTTGAATTTTAAATTTTCTATCACCCCTCCCTTATCTGTTTCTAGGATAATGACGATGTAAGCACTTCAGCTTGTTCTGCAGCTTGATCAGATGAAATAAATCATTATATTATTATTATTATTTACCTTAGGGTAATTGACTAACCTAGAAATCAAGGAAAACAAAAAAAAATACGTAGGGGCAATTTTATTTGAAATTTTAGGAATTTGGAGGTTAAACGTTGGAATGATAAATTTTCAGAAAGTATGATGAAAAAAACTGAATAAAACAATTCTAAACAATGAATTTGATTCACAAATTAATCCTACCAAATGGGAAGTATTTTTTCTTTTCCTTGTATTTTTAGAAACTAATTGTAAAACAATAAAAATTTAGAATCTTGGTGAATTTCTAAAAAAATAATTTCGGATGTGGAGTTTTCATAATGTGTCAAAAATCTCTTATTTGGAATACATTGGGTAATACGAAAACATAATACGGAGGGAAATGCATCGGGGAGGAAAATGTATACTGGAGGAGACGAGCGGGAGCGGTTTAGCGGGAGCAGATGAGGGGGAGGAATTTTCCCATCACCGGCAAGTTTCAACATAGCTTGCAAATGCTTTGCAAATGTAGAACTTTGCTCAGAACTCTATTCTAGAAATGGATAGATTTCAAAATTTACCCAGAAAGTCTGCATGAATGTCTTTATTTGTAAAATTTGTAGAATTACATTTATTAAAAAAATGTGATCCCAAACGAGATCACTCTGATTACACAATCTTAATTGCTTAAAAGGAGAGGAAAGTAGTAAAAAAAGCTCTAAAAACGTTTGGAAATGATATGTATCCAATTTTAGCAAACGTCGCAATGAAAAGTGTCTGACAATGCGTAGTGAAAAATAACGTTAAAAGATACCCTCGCTGCTTGAAAGTTATATAAAAATTCTAAAAAAGTAATTGCACATATTGAGCAAAAAAAATGATAAAATGTTGGATTTTAACGACTTTGACAATTTTTTACTTAATCAAATTACTCACCAGCCCCTCAGATTCATTTTGTTTGACATTGAAAATCTAACAAACATCAGCATAATTTGCAAGGTTTTTGCAAAATTCGAAATATTATTGTGAAAAACTCTTTTTTTAAAAAGTTTTGGTACCAAATGTATATACATCGAAAATTGGCATGTTTTTATTTCAAAATATTTACATCGATGGGTTTTTAAACACATTGTCAGGTTTTTCTTTTTCAAGATTGCTTGGTTTCCTGATATTTCAGAAACTAAATCCATACAGATTTAAAGTTGTGGAAAGATTCTAAAAAATACAAGTGGAGTTGTGGGGTTAACAAATTTGATAAAATGTAGGATTTAAACGACAAATGCACATTTCTTGCAGAAAAAAATTATTCAGGAGTGGGTTAGATTGATTGTTCGACATGATTAGATTGATTGTTCGACATGATTAGATTAGATCGTGTGATTAGATCGACTTGTAAGATCTAACAAACATCAACAACATAATTTGCAAAGTTTTTGCAAAATTTCAAACATTATTGTGAAAAACTCTTTTTTATAAAGGGTTGGATTTCGTTTTATCAAATCTACAACGCAAATAAAAAGCAGCATATTTTTATTTGCTAAACTATTTGGGGGCCATCCATAAATTACGTAACGCAAGTGGGGGGGAGGGGGGGTCATGTGAAGTGCGTTACGAATTGTTACGAAGGGGGTGGGGGGTATAGCAAATTTGTTACGTAACACATTTGATAAACTCGACTAAGCCTCGCCAAGTGTGACACCGAGCGGATTGAATTCATGTCATCCAGAAGGTTTCAGTGTACGCATGCATTTATGTAAATATACCGAACTATTGCCACCCATAGTGGTGGAGATAGTCGGACATTTGTTAGCTGTTTAATAAAATTTGGCATCGAATTCTTGGCAGATTAAAAAAAATCCTTCACTCAACTAGAAAAGTAGGGCTCAGTTCCTTAAAATATTGAGTTTCGTGTTGGAACTTGAATAATTAAAAAGATATTTGTTTTCCCGAATAACGTCAAACCTTATAGCACTGGGAGAGAAAACCCAAGAGTGCTAAAAAAATCGTTGGGAATGCTTTGATTGTTGAGTAAATAATTATTTCCATCAGTTAAATTGTAAATTATTTCTATTTCAATTCTGAAAATTGTTGCATAATAAATAAATAGGTTGCACATGTCAATGGCGAATTTATTAATTTTTGTTGGATTAAACCATATTTTTGTTGGATGGTATGAAATCAACCCTGAAAATTTTGCATTTGACATCTAAAGAGATCACTTGCGGTGAAATCAAATTTATGTTAAGTTACGAATGGGGAGGGGGGTAGTCGAGAAGCGTTACGATGCCGTTACGAGGGGGGAGGGGGGGCTTCAAAAATGACGATTTTTGCGTTACGTAATTTATGGACGGCCCCTTGTCAAATAAGTCGTGAATCGAGAAGAGACTTTTACTAACGTACGACTTAAACTATTTGCTTGAATTATTGGCTTAGAATCAAGGACAATTTTTAAAAAATGTCCAAATGACAATTTTATGATTAATTTGAGTAATTTGGAATTATTTTATTTAAACGTCAGAATGATAAATTTTCAAAAACTATGACTAAAAATTGAAAAGATGGGTTGGCTTTCAAACAATGATTTTACTCCATGAATTAATCCAACCAAAAAGGCATATTATTTTTAGGCACAAGATTTCCTTGTATTTCAGAAACTAAAACAATGAAAATTTGTAGTAGTGGAAAGATTCTTAAAAATGTGGAAAAATTAGTAAAAAATTAGGTAAATGTGGGATTTAAAGGGTTATGACAATTTTTGGCAAAATCAAATTATTCATACAATTTACAAAGCTTTTGCAAAATTTGTGACATGAACTTTGTGAAATTTATGACAAAACGTTTTTACGTAAAAATCTTTTCTAGAAAAGGACGGAATTTCTGGATTTTCTTGAAAAGGATGGAGAAAACCAGTATGTTTTTAGTTGCTAAACTATTTGCCAACTAAGCCGTGATGCGAGATTTACTTTTGTATGAACCTGATTGAGTTACTTAAAAAAAATATGAAATAAAAAAATTGTTAATCCAAAAATAAGTATAATTCTGTACGAAATTACAGAACTTTTATTCGAATTGAATTATAATTTCGTCATTCTTTTCATATCTATTAAGAAGATAATTTTTTTAAAGAAAAATAAACATGTTTTAAAGAGAAATTCAAAATTAAAAAAAATCAATCATCGCAAAAACAGAAGTTCCACTCATCTAACTTGCAATTCAAACTTTCTAGATATTAAAAATTAAATTTTGTCGCCAATCTATCAAATTACCATAAAATGCATGCAATGTACATATATTATTTTATTTAAATTATTAAAAAATGATGTCAAACACCAACATAAAATTCTGAATTTATTTTAGTGTTAAGTACTTCATTTTGTTTTATTTGGAAGAATTGTAACATTTAAACGTGGAATGACAAATTTTAAAAAACTATAATGAGTACAAAGTTTACAAGATAATTGGGGCGGCCAAATTAACTCCGGCAAATTGGGTATGGTTCTTGTTTACCAAGATTTCTAGTCAAATTTTGAAAAAATGTAAGATTTAACGACTTTATCGATTTTTGCACGTAATTAAATTATTCTTGAATAATTCAGATCCTATCGGCATATTCTGCAAATCTGGCAATCGACAATAAAACTTGCAATGTTTTAGGAAATTTGTCTAAAATGTTCATTTTCTTCAAAAGTTGAACTCAGTACGAAGGACAGACTCCACAATTCCCATCTCTCGCCCACTTTTATATACCAGTCATATGCAAAAATTTCAAAGTAAATTTCCGTGATATGGAAATCGAATTTCGAAATTCTGTAAACCGCTGTTGTAGGTAATTAACTACTTAAAAAGAAACAATTAAAATTTTTAAATTTCGATAAGCCAATTTTGACTGATCTTTTAACATGCGTTCTTATGAAATTTACACTCTTATGACATCCAGCCGCATCCGATACCAAATTGTTGGATTTCTGCTTGAATACAACGACCATAGCATGGTCCACAATAGTGACGACCAGAATTTCGAAAGCACATTTCTGCATAAGTAAAGCATTGAAAAAATGCGCTTAATTTTAATTCCTCGACCACAACTTGCTTAAAACACGAAAGTGTAAATTTAACGAAATGTGAAATTAAATGTGGAAAAAATGTAAGATTTAAACGACTTTGTCGATTTTTTTACATAATTAAATTCCTCAAATGTAATTCAGGTCCCATTGATCCCGTTTTCAAAATCTGGCAAAAGTCAATAAAACTTGCAATGTTTTAGGAAATTCGAAACATTACACAATACTCTTTTCTAGAATTTTTTTTTCAAAATTAAAAAACTAAAAAATGCTTAAATTTCTCAAGATTAAACTAAAACTAAAATAATGACCATCAAATACTTCAAACTTATTCGTTATCAAATCTGCAAGTTGTAAGTTCTGAAAAATAAGGACGCGTTTCTATTCTTTTTTATAATCAAATTACTGAAAGTTCAGTCAGATTATTATTTGTTAGGCATAGTCATTAGAAATATTTTGCTAATCACAATTGAAAAATTTTCAAGATTTGCAGTTCAAAATTAATAAATGACATAAATTCCGAAATTCCGAATAACAATAATTTCAAAATTTTATTTCGTTGCGTTATTTTCAGGTCAAAAATGGTCAGCCTTCTTACGTTCCCCGTTTTGGAACAACTTCCCCTCACTTTCGAACAATTGGTGGCCTCGGATTACCAAGTCGGCTTCATTAAACATGGCGACTCTGCGTACAACATGTTGAAGGCGTCGACCGACAAGGTGTACGTGACCCTCGTGAAAGAAATGGAAATCATCACGGGAAACGGTTTGGAATGTGTGGAACGTGCCGTGGCGAAAAAATATGCCTGCATTGCCTACGCCTTCTCCACGATTTACTTAAAAG